AAAAAAAAAAGTTCCAAATTTTTTGATTAAATTTTGTTGTTGAATAGTGCAAAGGACGTTTAAGAGAGTGGTGCAGGTCTCAATTTGCATTAACATCCCCGATTCTTCGAAAAATAATAATAATAATAATAATAATAATAATAATAATAATAATAATAATAACAAAAAAACCTTCAAAATTGGAGATCTGAGACAAAGTTTGTTGAACAAAATTACTTCTTCAAAAAAGGTAATGCACAACAGGTAATAATAATTTTTTGGAAAACGACTAGTTTTTGCATATTTTGCGATTAAAATTTACAAAAAATCTAAAAATCCACTCTACATTTCTTTCTTAAACTGTAGTATCATTTTCGGGTATTGCTTGTTATTTTCGAAAATTGCAAAAAATTAAAAACTACTAAATTGAAGATAGAGATTTTTCCTTCAAATGAAATTTGTTGTCCATAATCCGTTCCTTCATTAATTGTACATTTTTTGTCATCTTGTATATTTTTTTAAACCATTTAGTAGTTGTCGTGCAATATTCCGTGAAATATGTACAATTTAAAAAATCACAAAAACAAGATTTTCTCAAAACAGTTCCAAATTATTTTTTAACTTTTGTTAGGGATAGTGTCTAATGTACTCTAAGACATGACATAAACGCCATAGTGCTCTATTATTTTGTTTTTTTTTAAATATACAAAATTATTTTTTTGATTATCCTCTCACGTTGTTAATATTTATATTACCGGTGATTTGTTCACATTATTGCATTTACGAGTGCATGTGCTTTAGATAATGTCATAAATATTTTCTCGAAAACGCAAGTTTTCTGTGAAAACGAGCTCAAAATACCGGATTTTCAGAAACGCTTAAATGCCATTTTCTCAAAAACTGCAGTAAATTTTTTCTTTAAAATTTTCGAACAGATAGTGATTATTGCACTCTTTAATATAACGCAAAGTTCATTTTGGGGAATTTTTAAAAAATTACACATTTTGTTTAAAGATCTCTCACGCCATTAACCTGAGAGAGGTGGCGCGGGACCTTCTGAGTCCTGTATGAATTTTGCGAGTCACAAGCTTTACATTTCATATACCTTTCACCACATGCTTTATCTTTTGCCTAAAAGATATAAGCCCTTTGCGACTCCGCCACGGGTTCCTGG